CGGACGGCTGGTGGCGGATTGTCAAAGACGTTGCTACTCACTTGCATGGACGGCGGCTGGAAGGAAGACAGAGAACAGCCGCATTCAGGTCAAATGTATCATGAAATGGAGGCGATGATTGTGGAGTGCATTATATATGTTAAAGTTGGCCATTACCACCCAATAACCAGGCTCTTTATGGCTCCTAATTATGTCATAGACATAGGCCCGTCTCTGAATGGCAGGCAGGCGGTCAAGGTCGTCGGGCAGATTGGCTTTCCTTAAGTATAGCTGGAGCATTTCATCAGTGCCACGACCCCGCACATCGAACGTCTTGCGGAAATCGAGGGCCTTTCCCTCCACATGCCTAAACTCCACGGGCTCGGAGATGTACGCGTACGAGTAACCTTCCATGCTGGGCCCAACACTAAAAGAATCGGATGCGGATACGAGTTGGATACTGCGTTAGTACGGTTCCCCTAAGACGGCCCCCAAGTGGCCACTCCTCCAATCACTGACTTGGCACGCAGTCCACTCGACACAAGAGCACTCCCTCGGCCTGCCCGTTTCCCCAGTGTGCATTATCTTGTTGCCAATTTACAGATAAGAGGTTTATCAATTTTGGGGGATTCGGATTGGTGTTTGGTCGTGTGACTCATCGCTGCCCCATCAGTCACCAGGGAAATTCACAAAGCCCTCTCCCCGAAATCTGCTGAGAGAGAGGGAGGGCAGCACCAGACACCTTGTAATTACCGTTAACTCGTACACGAATAATTTGTGTCGAAGGTTTCTCCAGCACTCGTAAAGATCGCAAACGGAAGGAGGCAGCCGTAGACGTAGCTGGAGCAAGTTTGAACAGCAGAAGGCAGTTGGTCGGACTGATTAACGGCAGTGGTATGTCATGTTAGGGCCTCGCGATTACACATTTGGCAAAGCGCCTTATCTAGCAGCTGGCAGAGAGTCACTGATAAATGGGGGCCAAGTAATCACCTGAAGGCGAGCGGCAGCGCTACCGACGGGCCAGAGCCAAAAGAAAATATAAACAATGAGCTCGAGCTTTGTTTTGGTGTTGGTACATTCGATCCACTTCACCTGTCATTGTGCTTGCATGCTTACTACTCGTACGTCGCACAGCCATTGATAGTAAGTGACTAATGTCTGCAGAAAGCGGAAACCGTCTCGCGGAGAACACAAAGAAATTCCCACCCCTGGAATGGCTCATGACACTTCATGTACCAAGTTTACCGTTAGCCATATAAAGGCCTAAAGATCCCCATTAATAGCAGAGTCGTTTTGATTGCTTATTTATCTTCTACTACTTGCAAATCTTTCAGGACATGCGATCTTTGATAAATGTCCCCTGAGACTAGCTTGTAATAGTAACGACTTTATTTATTTAAAAATTGCATGCAATTTTGCACACACACACATACATGCATATAACAGTTTGTGCGAAGCAATGCTTTGCGGCGGTACCGCGCGCGCCTTGCGCCCACTCCCACTCCCACTAGCAAATACGGCCCCCATTATAAGTATACCCACTAGTGTAAGATTGTAGCATTATTAAAGCAAGACAATTAGAAGGAATAAACAAATGAATACAAAAAAAAAAATGCATAGCACAGTTTATCGAACTTGACATCGAGCTTGCTTTGTTCCTCCCATCACTATCGCTCCCGAATATTTATTCTCATTCGTTGAATTTATTATCAAGTTTTTTATTTAGTTTCTGGGCCGGGCCAGGACAAGCTAGGGTAGAAAATCTGACTTAATTAAAAAAATAATTTGTTTTGAAATTTCTGGCAGTCATGGATGAAGAGAATTTTGGGATCTTTGAGGAGCCGGGTGAGTGTACCCTGGCGGAAATCGAAGTCGGCGACGAGTCGCAGTTGAATTACAGCCACATGCCGGGCGCTACAGTGCTGGCGTCCAGCGACCAGGAGGGACTGGTCCAGTTCTTTGCCAGGCCACCGCCTCCCATCATGCAGATGTCAACTGAGGTGATGGTTCAGCGCACTCTGGAGCATCCAGCACTGAAGCAGATACTCCAGGAAGCCGACGGTCAGCCAGATTTTGATCCAGCAGCGGAGCAAATGAAAATTCGCGATTTCCTAGCGGGCGTCACCAACAATAAGATGACCACAGAGGAGTCTGTCTTTCAAGGTAGCGGTCCCTATGCCTCTCAAGATTAATTTCGGATAACTACGTTCTCGCCTTTTTTTTTAGCACATCGCATGAGCGCGCCCACGAACGGGCCACGCGTCTACAAATGCCGTGACTGCGGCGGCACGTTCGACTCTTTGTACTATTATAATCACGTTTGCTTGACCGAGAATGCCGTAAAGCCAAACTTCGAGGCAGCTGTACAGCAGCAGGATAAGACACGATCTGTGAAACTGTCGACAGCGCCGGCAATTGTCCCAGCGCCTCGCTATATTCGAGGCAGCGAGCGCGTCATCTTGGAAAATCAAATACGCCTGCGGCGTTACATGAAGGACGAGCTGAAGTACGATGTCACCACGGGCATTGACAATTCGCTGGGGCTGTCCAAGAAGAAGGGCAAGCAGCCCAACGAGTGCTCTATATGTGATCGGCAGTTCGTGCATGCCTCTGGCCTGGTACGCCACATGGAGAAGCATGCCCTGAACCTGATCGCCCCACAGGCGAATGCGCCATCAATCCCACCTCCGCCTGCCCCCGGCCTAGCTGTGGTCACAAAATGCAACGATTGTGGCCGCATCTTTTATGATTGCAAGCTGGCCATGCGCCATGTCCGTGTTCATTATCCCGAACAACCGAAAATATGCGAACCCCTCATTGACAAGAACGTATCACAAAAGAAAAAGTTTATTAGGCGCATGCTAAAAGGGGACTGGCTTTTCCTGTGTGTGTACGCAAAGAAACGGAGCATCGAGCAGAAGCAGGCGAAGCTAGCGTTGGAGGCCGGGCTATTTTCTACACTGATCCTGGGTAGCGTGCTGCAGTGCGAGTTCTGTGAGTTCGTATTTGCGGATATTGAAAAGCTGCTCGTCCACTCGGCCGCTCACGTGGTGGAGAAGCGCTTCGAGTGCACCGCCTGCGACATTACGATGAACACCGCCAAGGAGGCCAGTGTCCATTTCCAGAGCGACTGCATCTTTATGCGCGAAGAACAGAAGCGGCTGGATGTGTCTCTCTTTCGATATTTTGTGTGCAATGTGTGCGAGCAGAAGTTTTCCACTGCCGACGTGCTGCAGGAACACCGGTAGCTGGCGATTCACTATCCCTATCCGCAATCACACTTATATCAAATTTTCTCCCTAGAAACATGTACTACCATTACTTTCCACGCCTCAGCGCGGACGGGAGTGCACTGTTGCTGCCCTGCGAGTATTGCGATGTCAATTTTACGGCTGCCCACGAGGTGGAGGCGCACAACCTGGAGAAGCATGTGAACAAGAAGCGGCGCGAAAAGGAGACGCGGATGAATGGCGCCGGCAACGGCCGCCTTCGCCAGTACCTGTGCGACGTCTGTGGAAAGTCGTACACCCAGTCCAGTCATTTGTGGCAGCACCTGCGCTTTCACCAGGGTAAGTGTTAGTGGTGGATTAATCACTGGCCGATCACCAGCTCTCCCATGGGCCTGACAGGTGTCAAGCCATTTGCCTGCCAAGAGGCCAATTGCGGTAGAAAGTTCACCATTCGTCCGGATCTCAACGATCACATTCGCAAGTGCCACACTGGAGAGCGTCCGTATCATTGTCTGGTGTGCGGCAAGCGTTTCCTCACCGGATCCGTCTTCTATCAGCACCGTCTGATACATCGCGGAGAGCGGCGCTACGAGTGTGAAGAGTGCGGCAAGCGATTCTACAGAGCCGATGCCCTTAAGAACCACCAGAGGATCCACACCGGCGAGAAGCCATTTAGCTGCCTCTTTTGCACCAAGACTTTCCGCCAGCGCGGAGACCGGGACAAGCATATACGTGCACGACACTCCCATTTGAACGCCAACACGCGCCTCATGATGCAGATGCAGAAGATCCAGCTGGAGACGTCGGATGCTATAAAGTCCAGAATGCGTGACATTCCAATGGGCGAGGGTGACGGCTACTCGACATCCATGTATCAGGTATCAGGTTCTCAGGAAGATGGTGAAATGCAACTAGTTACGGATGAGCAGGAACTAAGATATTACGAGCCAATGGACGGATTTGAGATGCAGCAGTACGTGGAGGAGGCTGGGCCCAATCTCATGAATGAAGTCGAATATGAAGAGGTAATTGTGTACGAGAACACAGAGGAAGAGCCAGCTTTGTACGAGAACCCAGAGGAAGAGCCAGCTTTGGCAATTTCTTATGAACCCCAGCCAGAACCACAACAAATGGAAGAAGAGATTCCAGTGAAACCCGAAAGACAAAAGCGTAAGATTGTGGTGGTGAAGAATAATCCATCTCTACCGCTTTATCCAACTATGTAAAACTATGTAAATATAAACAATTGAAATAAACCGCCAAATCAAATGCCGAAATAAATACCTGCCATTGCTGATAAAAAAATGTCATCAATAGTGACATACCTTGGGAAAGTGAATATTACGAAACTGAGGTAATGTGTGTAATCTGAAGCTGATTCATCAATCGGATAAAACTATAGTTTCTGTTCTGAGAGCCGTAACTAGCTGGTAATATTACATATCAAAGTCTCGAAAAATTTGTAGGGATGTATATTTATTTTGTATTTCGAACATTGTTTGGTATGTTTTTGAGGGTCTGACGGTATATTAGATTGATAATTCCGCGGTCACACTGCGCCGCTTGCTTACTTGTATCGATATATTCTTGAAACTATCCTATTTTAATCGATTAAACACGAAAAGCATAATAAAAAGCGTTAAAATGTATTATTGAGAGAGCTGAATACACAAGAAAGAGTATCATTTTGTTCCGAGCTTATCAAAGTCGAGGAATTATACCCCAAGAAAAATATATTTGTGCAAATCAAAGAAATATCGGATAGAAATATATTATCAACACAAACCATAAATATATATATCGATATATTGACATGTCAGGTTGACACCGCTAGTTCCTTCTTTCTTTTCGATTTTTCTCGTATAGACGCCAACATGGGTTTTGCTACTCTCTGGTACTCGCATCCCCGCAAATACGGCCAAGGCTCCCGATGCTGGTAAGATATTGGTAGCCCGTAAGCTAGCGCATCGAATAGTGTATAACTTGTTTAAATGCTTGCCCCGACTCCCCGTATTTTTTATGATTTTTGCATGGCTGTAGAAAGTGAGGTTAATCACAGTTCTGTTTTCACGCATGGCACTACCATATTTGCTATATTTTGTATTGAATGTGAATTCGTTGCTGAATTGAATGCTACATGGTATTTGCCCCCGGTTGAGTACGGAAATATGTGTTTAAACATGTTGGACAGTTTCCTTAATTAAGGGTGGCCAAAGTAAAGTTGCATGCGGCACGGCGTCATTCCTGAATAGTAATGGTGCAGCCGACTGCAGCGATAGCTGTGCTATTATTTTGCGCCAAATCCCAAACATTCTGTGCAATGGATATAATTTACTTATTGACTTGTTAAATTTCAGCCGTGCCTGCTCTAACCGACATGGTCTCATCCGCAAATACGGCCTGAACATCTGCCGTCAGTGCTTCAGGGAGTACGCCAACGACATTGGCTTCAAGAAGGTAAGCTTAACATTGCAATAAAGTTTGTCCTTATACAGTAACTAATATCTGTTTTCTCTTTGCAGCTGGACTAAGCGTCTACTTCTTATTTTGGCACGCCTTGAGCATGTCTAAAAACATTTGTTGTATTAATATAAGCAGTCACCCCACCGTCACTACGGAGGGGCGGACTGCGTAGATTAATATGTCATTATGGCTGCAACCACTAATTTAATCATTTGGAGATTTAAATGACAACAAAGCCGTCAGCGTGTGCACTGTGAATATTTGGATACAACCTGATTCCACAACATTTTTCAATAAGTAAAACAGCGCACGAACACATCTTCTGAGCACACGTATTCTTACATTTATCACCTTTTCCAAAGGATCTTTGTTTAAATACTAGTTTGTTTAAATCGCCGTCTGATTAATACCATAACAAGAACCGAAAACCATTGTGTTATAATTTGATACGGCTATAATCTACATTTAAGCAACAGAATCGGAGCTGACTGCGAGCATCAGGAGTGGATAGATCTTTGAATCATGTCATCGATAGTCAGGACCCGAGAGAGTGTGTGCCCATTGAAAAACAGAAAATGTGAAAGGAGCATTGAAGGAAATCTATTTGAGCAGGACACCTCCTTTTTGGAAAGCCGGAAGTTATCTCCTGCGCTGGGACCTGCATTTCCTTGTTAGTGGGTTAGTGGCATCCAAGCCGCCGCACTCGCAAGAGCTGCACAGTCACCGCCTACTGACTGCACATTAGGTCGAAAGCAAAACAAAATCCGAAAACCAGTTTCGTTTTGGCAGCCCCACTGCGATGCTAAAGAGCGGGTCAGCCCCACAGCTTTGGCTCTCTTAACTCGGCTTACAGCGCGATCTCAGCTGGTTTGTTGTGGTCGGAGCTGCCGAAAATTACAATTTTTGCACATTCGCCAATTGTGGGTTTCTGAGTCTGACGCGGTCGCTCGGTGCTTAAACAACGTTGTGCGCTGTGTGTTTGCCCGTAGTTTACACAATTCCGATTTGCCTTTGGCCGAGAAATGTGCGTTTAGCGCCTCATTTTGATTTAAATACCAACGGGTGCGACACTTTGAAGAAACTCACATCGTGAGGTCGTCGCCACCTTCGTGACCTGCTTCCCCGAGATGAGATTACTTGGGCTGCTGTGGCTGCCGTTGCCATTTCTAAGCAGCCTCTACCTGTGCATCGGTTATGCAACTGCCACTAAGGTATCTACCGCTCGCGGCGTTGCACAATACAGGCTCCCGCTGCCCGCGCCGCAGCCAACACTATTGACGCCAGCAAGTGAAGCTGCACCAATGATGACTGGAGTGGCTGTTGGGCGGAATGATACGAGGCCAGGCCAGGCCCGATCTCCGACTCAGGCGGCATCAAACCAGCGCAGGCGCACACAGATTGTCCGGCGACTCAGGCCGGTCAGCCGAAACTCCAGCACCACGAGCACGAGCACATCAACGACGTCCACAACAACCACAACGACCACGACAACGAGCACAAGTGAGTGGGATTAGCGAAAAATGCAGCTGGACTTTAGCACTCTTGGTTTCCATATGCAATGCGGGCACCTGATGCTGACCATTGAGAAGTCAAAGAAAACTTGTCGAAGATGCTGGCACTGACCTAGCTTTCGGTTTCTGTATGTGTAGTTCGCTTTAAGAGATTGAAATTGGCAACGACAAGAGCGGCAAAGAAGTTGTCTGTGCTGATGCTGGGGGACACCGATAGACTGCATACCCTCACTGGGATATTCATTCTGCAAGCACAGGGAGGGAGCTATCTCGTATGCAAAACCTGATAGACCCGTTCGAATGAGGCATAACTAGTTGAGTTGTTGGTGCTGGTGTCTGGCGTCTGGCGTCTGGTGCATAGGTTAAGTGCCGTGCCATAGCCAATAACTGGAGCAGCGGTGCTTTCGAATTTGTTTTGCTGCTGCAGTAGGAGACCTTGATGGCTTTGCGAGAGACAAGGCCATAAATTACAGGGGCCTTCGGCCATTGATAATTTGCATCAGCACCTGCATATTTCGATTTTAGAACTTTCCTAGCGCCTCTCCTCAGTTTCCCTTCAGCCTAACAGATGGCGCCCTGAACTTGGCACGAAATTAAAGTGTTTTTTTATGTTACGGAAACTGTGCTCGCAAAGTGTCGTTAAACTAATCAAGGCAAACGCCCTGCTCCTCGGGTCACTTGCCATCTGATACGTTTGCGTCTAAACTGTTGCAATGGCAGCCACGTAATTGCAATGGGAATGGGACTATTGCGAGTGGGGTGGGTGGGAAACCAGAGGTTCGACTCGTTGGCCAACAGGCAGCCATGCAATTGTTCACGAATCGGGCAGGCAGAGCAACAGGCAACAAAACAAAACAAAATTTATACATAGTTGATCCAAACTCTGTTTATGACTGGCGGGAACTGCGCTTTACTTGGCCTGTACGAATAATGTCTGCTATTTGGAGCAGAAATACTACCACAATCGGCCATTGAGCACATGTGAAATCACCTTTCCCTAGCTCTCCACCTCTCTCTCTTACACAGCGCCGCGTCCCAGCTTGGCCAATGGTTTCAATTTCTTCAATCCGAGCTTCTGGAACTTTGGACAGTCGAGTCTTGTTGCAATTCGGCCGACAACGAAGCAACCCCATCCGCCCAAGAAGTTCAGCCTCAAGGAGGAAAAGATCAGCTATCGAAAGCCACCCAAGACCACCATTAAACCCAGATCCAGCCCAACCACAAGCACAACCACAACCACAAGCACAACCGTGAGACCAACCACAGATGGTCCATTCCGCATTGCTCTGCCCACACTGACATTTGCCAGCGGTGAGGGCAAGCAGCGGGACAAGGAGAAGGAGAAACGGGCTGCCGCCGAGCTGCGCCACCGCTTCAACTGCCCAAGGGAAAACGAGGTGCGCTTCCAGCTATTCCCGAAGATCTGCAAGACGGACAAGGACTGCGCCGTTTGGCGGCGGGACGAGCTGTGCTGCGACATCTTCGGGTCAAGCAGCTGTGTGTCCGGAGTGGCAAAACCCCTGGAAGAGGCAGCCCATGCACGTGAGCTCAGGGCTTCCTACCGTTGGACGTGCAGCCATTAAACGAACTTCTTTCTTTAGCCATACTCGGCCTGATACCACGCAAGTGCCCCACCAGGCCGCTGGCCGAGCTGTGGTGGGATGTGCAGGAATGCAGCACGGATATGGACTGCTGGCCAAGAGTTTGCTGCCCCGATGGACGCCGAAGGTACTGTCGCACCTCACAGCCAGAGCTGGAGACGGCACCGGTGCCAGTCAAGCGCTCCTTTGACTATCGTGAGTCTATCTCTTGATTCTTGGCAGTATTCGATAATTGTAAGCCCTTTCTCTTGAAGTCACCGAGTATCTGGAGTGCACCGCCCCACCGCCACCCATCTTTGATCTGCATCCAAAGGCGTGCACATCCACACTGGATTGCTTCCCAAATGTGTGCTGCCAGGAGGCAGGTCTCCGGCACTGTCGTCCGCCCAAGAAGTCCGTACTCACACTGATGGCGAATTTTCTCAATGTGGACTTTGTGAAGCGACTGACACAGAACATTGTTATCAAATAAGCTCTGGCACTTCTAACCCAGTGCCACCACCAATCGCATACATATGTATTCATATACATTTATGTATGTAACTTATGTACGAGGGTATATGTAGGTATGTACAGTTGGATCTACTCTATGTGTGCTGTGTACCTAAGTTTCAACAATTTCAGAACTGCCGCCGTGATATCTCGTTCATATTTGTTTACCTTCGCAGATAAACAGAACGAATCATACATACATACATACACACACACACACACACACACACACACGATATGTACTACGCATTATGTATACCGTACAGTTCTGCTCCGTACCCCATCTAAGCCCTGCACCTAGCTACCTAATATTAGATGTAGTACACACGTTTTAAGTTTCATTTGTAAGCTCATAAAAAATAAAGCACCATTATTCTGTCTACTACAAATGTTGTTGAGGTTGCATGCCACAGTACACGTAACCCCTGGGTCAGTTTCAAGTGAATTGCTCTGCAGGTTTTTGCTCTTGACTTATTCTGTTAAAAATGATATACATTTATATGAGTCTTTCGCACTTTCTTGTTGAGTCTTAATTTGAGAATTTTCTCGAGAAGAATTGAGGGCACAGAGCAGTCAAGAGAATCGCACATATGGAATAACACGTGGTGTTTGGTTTCACAGCTTACTTATTTTTAGACCGTAAATATCTGTTTCAAGCCCATGCAATCAGCAAAACATCTTACGGATTTCCATTGTAATAAATAAAACATAAGGCAATCTAAGAAATTCGATCACACCAAATGATTTCGCAACTGAAAAACCATACACAACACTGGCACGGCTCAAGTTTCAATTGAGTTTATTGGACATTATGCAAAGCGAGAAAAAAATTGCTAGTATAGTGCACGGCTACGGCTGCTGCGTACAAAAAATAATACAACGAAATCAGTGCTGGTTTGGGTATGGGCTTCCCTTCCTCTCACTTTGAGGAGCAGCCGCACTTGGCCTTGTTGTCTCCGCCGCACTTGCAGTCAGTGCCGCAGTTGCAGCCTGTCTTGGGTGTCTGAGTGGCGCATTTGCAACCTGTAAATGGCAAGAAGGATTCTAATAGTTAACAGGATCAGACTTGATAGTTTTTTCTTCAAACTTACCAGATCCGCATGGGCAAGGCATTTTGAGTTTGGTTTTGTTTTTTGGTTGGTTCACTTGAAGAAGATTGAATTGGATTGGATTGTTCACTTCACTTTGTCTTTGCTGATGACTGATGCACATCTGACGGATGCGCCCTGCTTTATACACCTTCGAAACGCGGCTTTCCACACGGCCGGCAGACAAGTCTTCCAATTCCAATTCCCGTTTTGCACACGCCGGCCGGTCCGGTTGTCCGCGTGGGGCCGTGCGCAAGAGCTTGCGCCCGGTGCGGTTCATGCCCAGGCTAAAGCTTTTGGATTGGGGTCCAACGAAATGCGCAGACGCTCGAAAATCTGGCCACCGTTGGATACTGGTGGGGGCAGCAGCAGCAGGGTAGCGTGGTTGGTGGGCGGGACTCTATCGGATCCATTGAACGATTTCACAGTGCGGCCTGCAGCAGAGACCACACGGGCAGAGCTACGGCTACGGCGGCGGCATCGACAACGACAACTTACAACTTACAACAAATTCTGCAACGAATTGACGTGCAACGAAATGCAAGTAATATTTGCGACGCAATTGAAGCGCTCCTCAGATCCTGCAAGCGGCAGGCCACGTTCCCGCAGTTCCTACCGCGGCTTCTAGGCGCCCCTCGCCCATCGACATCGCCATCGCCCCAATGTTGTCTGTGTGAGTAGGCGGAACTGCAGCACAGATAAAATCGATAAATCCAAGCCAAAATAAAATAAGGGAAAATCACCAGCAAAGTGCGTGAGTGTGGGTGTGTGTGTGTGTGCTGTTTGTGCATGTGTATGTGTGCGAGAAGGAAAACAATAAGTGCGAAACAACGAAACGGAAGAGCGGACACGGACCCGGACGCGGATACGGTTACGGACACGGGCTCGCAGGACAATCATGCGGAAGTGAGCACTTGGAATACCCAAAGGAACACCTCCTGTGTGCCAACAAGCTGCTACTGTGGCTTGTCCTATCCACCAGTAATCGCCCTGCATTTACCCGCACATCAAAGCGTCGCTATTTATATGTACGGCCGGGCCGTGCTGGGCCATCATGCGATACCAAGCCTGAGCGAACCGCCAACGCAATAATAATAGTATGTAACCCTAATCATAATGATAATGATGAGGTTGATGCCAATGCCAACGCCGATGCCGGTGGCGATCTGTCGCGTTGACAACAAAGTCACAAAAAAAAAATCAATACCCTTCCTTAAAGCTGATGGCACATGGCTAAAATTAGCGCAACACTCACGCAGCGTAGTGTTTTTTTTTTTGTCCCTAGTCCCTCAGTGCGTTCCCCCCTACGAAAAGGTTGTGTTGTGCGTGCGTGGGCGTTATGACCAACTGATTTGCTCTTAATCGTTGCAGATAAACGAAAGTATGACGCTCAAGTAGAACATTCCATCAGCGGTCGACAGCAAGCAAACAAGTCAGCTCCGTTTCCGAATCTGCTCCTGTGTGGAGCAGCTATCGATATCGAGAAAACCACCGCCATCACCTCAATTCGCAGCGCGAGATGACGGAGCAAAAGAACCAGGTGACGCGTGCTGCACCGGAGCAGAGCAATGACTACCGAGTGGTGGTCTTCGGTGCCGGCGGCGTTGGCAAAAGCTCCTTGGTGCTGAGATTCATCAAAGGCACGTTCCGCGAAAGCTACATTCCGACCATTGAGGACACCTACAGACAGGTGAGTGCATCGCTGATCGCCTGCGGTTAGCTAACCCTACTTATCCCTACCCTACTCTACCCCAGGTCATAAGTTGCAACAAGAACATTTGCACGCTGCAAATAACAGACACAACTGGATCGCATCAGTTCCCGGCCATGCAGCGACTGTCCATATCGAAGGGACACGCTTTCATTCTGGTTTTCTCTGTGTGCTCCAAGCAGAGCCTGGAGGAGCTACGGCCCATCTGGGCGCTCATAAAGGAGCTCAAGGTAGGACAAGTGCCACAGATCGTATAACCACCATTTAATTTCCTTTCTGTTCATGCAGGGTGCCGATATACCCAACATTCCTGTCATGCTCGTGGGCAACAAGTGTGATGAAACCGCCGAGCTGAGAGAGGTACATAAGTCCGCAAGAGCCAGTCCGGACCACTTTTTCCTTCAAATGTGTACTTTTCCTTTGCAGGTGTCGCAGATTGCGGGCCAGGCGCAGGCCACCACCTGGAGCATATCGTTCATGGAGACATCGGCCAAAACCAACCACAATGTAACTGAGCTGTTTCAGGAGCTCCTCAATATGGAGAAAACCCGCACCGTCTCCCTGCAATTGGATACGAAGAAGCAAAAGAAGCAGAAGAAGGAGAAAAAGGCAAAGGAAACGAATGGCGCCATACCGGAGAACGGGGAGGCTAGCGCCAGTGCCAGCGGCGGTGCCAAGGAGAAGTGTCGGGTTATGTAAGGATTATCGGATTACAATGAAGTGATTCCGAGACGAGTCGATGCGAAATGAAATGGTGACAGACAAATACTCGCTTTGGGGCAAGTAGCGTTGGGTTAACCCACACGCATGCACACCCCCCCATCTAGATTTAAACCCGTGCATCCCCACCCCACCAACCACACACATAAAAACAAGCACCCAAAATCATACAATATGTATTTAAGAAGAAAACACTACGATTACAATTACAAATACGATTATGACTATATTTTGCATAGGTTTTATTCAAGCAAAGAATTTTCTAGTCGCACAGTATACACATACGAATACTATACTAAACAATATGATACTATCCTTACCAAACTATATGAACACAACACACAGAACAGAACATCCACGAATGGATGGGTTGACACAATCGCATCTGAAACGCAACGGCATACATATCAAATATTTACACACTTGCATGATGCACCACCACCAACAACAACACCAATCCAATACGAGTACACCACTGGTCACTGGTCACTGGTCACGCGATGTGCCCAGAGTAATCTGTAGCGTAGCCCCATCCCATGTAACACACATAAACAGGTATCATTCAAAGCTATACACTATCGACATAAATACTTACTTACATACATAGAATATCTCTAATGAAAGCCAAAGTACCTACTTAAAAGACATAAATCTGTATCTACTTACGATATACAAGTACTTACAATATTTACATACATACTTAAACCCATTGACAGAAGACTTCTCTATGTAAGTAGTCGACACGGAGACAATTGTGGGGTTGCTGTCTCAGCAAACTATCTAAGAACCGATCCTCCCCCCACATTACCGCCGTATGCCTCCCCAGACTATCATTGCTGTTTAACTATTTACCACCAAACAAACAAAGAACACTTAATGAACGAATGAATGAATGAATATAGTACGAACCGAACCGAACAGAACCCTGATCGCCACATAATTAAGCTAATGTATAAAATACTCATAGCCATGCCACAGACCCCCCCAGACATTCACGAAATATTCATAGAAATCTGCTAGTCTGCTATTATTTGTTTATTTGAGCAAATTCCAGTTAACATTAATTATGTATATTGTACAATTTCATAATTATTTGCTGAAAGTTATGGACGGGAGGAGAGCATTTTACACACAGAAGTAGTGCTAAAAGTGTATGAAAACCAAAGTCTAAGCTTAAGTTAGATCGAAAGTCTAAGTAAAATCCGAGCAACCGTTCAGCCGTAGTAGTGTGGAAGTGAGCCAAAAGAACACGCGTACATCGAAGGATATTTGAGAGTGCATTTTTGCAGCACAAACACAGGAGATGGGATTAAGTTGCCTGTTTTTAAACAAAACACACACCACAAACACGTGTAGTATCTTATGTATAACTTAACACAAACAATTCCAATTATGGCATTCGTTTCTTTTTTAAAATAAAAATTATATTTGAGATTGGCTTGTGCATAGGCGTAGGAGTAGGCATAGGCATTGTTCTGCTGCTGTTTGATATTAGGTGGCATTAGTTTTTTAAATTATACGATTACGAGTACCAAATCAGACGTAAGAGAGGTAGTAGGGACACATACATATGCTTTAATTGCTGCTAAACCATAATTTTAGCTAGTTGAGGGGGCAAACGCAAATGCGAACCAGCGAGAAATAATTACATTAATTATGATGTTGCTCAGTTGTTAAACCGTAGAACAGAACAGTAAAGCAGAAGAGAAACAAATCGAGAGATGGAAATTACATACTAAATAACTAAAAAATAAATTGTTGAATTCGAGTAGTGAAATTATTAATCAGGATTATCATAGCGGACCAATTTGCGTATAAGATTTGTGAAATCAATTAGATAATTCTCTCAGTTTGCCATAGAAATGGGATGATCGATGCCAGCCTTAGTTGTCACTTATTGGTAGCCTGCCGTGCTTTAGGTTTTTTGCTTAATGTTTCCTAGTTTTAGGTATGTTAAACGCTAGAGAGAGCAAACTGGTTTTGGTTAAGGCTATAAGAGTATGTGCCGTGTATTGGAATTTGCGTAATTGTAAACGAAACACCTAGTTGCATAGTTATTATTATTAAATATTTATATAACAATGAAGTGTAATTAAAGTATAATACAATTTTAAGGGTAGTGCATGATTTAAAATACAACGAATAAATATATTTACACCGAAATTCTTTTTCTAATTTTTTTCCTACGAATATATATATTATACACACACCATATAGATCTATATACATAGATATTTAAATACAAATATGTATATCAAAAATATTAGTTGTATACATATTGAACTAGTTTTTACATGATTCGAAAACACCGAATACATATTTAAATTTCGCTTACATTCAATTAATATGCAACTCACACAGTGCGACACAATGCGGCCCACTGCGTATAAGAAAAATGAACGGAACGGCTCAGCGCCACATTGTAAATACAAAATGTTCAACAAATTACATAGAAAGTAAAGTATATCCAATTTTTGGGAGTGGCCCGGCCTGCAGCATATTCAAAACATGCAATAATATATAGAGACGAGTTGGTGGCCTACTCAAAAACGATCTTATTGTTGAAGATTTAAACTTAATTACAGTTATCGTGAACAGGAGAATAAGAACACGCAAAATAATTTAAATAAACAATCTTTAACTATGACAAATCAACTGCAAAATGAATTATTCTTATATGCTAGGTTTCCAATTTAAAACTGGCTAAAAAAGATCACGGACAAACTTAATATGCTTTAAGTACAAAGTAAAGTTTGCAGCTAGCTGCTAGATATTATGAATCTCATCCTCCTCGTGGTCATCCACCACTGTGAATCCATCCTCGGTGATGCTTCGACTTTTGCTGTCGCTGCTGCTGTTGCTCTTGTTGCTGACATTTAGTTTTTCGTTTTTGTCTGTTGCGGATGGCGCTTCCAGGGGTTCCACTAGCTCCTGGACGCCCGATACTGCTGGTCGCTGTGGGTTGACACTCTGTCGTGTATCGCTTATCACGTTCAACAGAATTTTCAGGTTTTCACCCGATATATAATCTCTTGCAGCCTCTTTCCCAGCGGTCAAATGCTGAGCCGTTGTCGAAGAGTCGGTATGGCCTGGTCTGCTATGAAGTAGTCTAGCCCAAGCTCTGGGACTAATGACGTATTTAAAGGTGAGCTTGATTATGTACGCCACCAGAACCACCAAAAATATGGGTGAAATGAGGCTATAGGGGAAGGGCAAGCCAGCTGTGCGTACATAAAATATGAATATAAAGGTGTAATTTCGACGGCAAAAAGTTCTTACCGGATAGCTTTGTCATGGTTTGCGACACCTTCTCCAACAGCATTTCCAGCTGCTTTAGAAACAGATCGTTCATATACATAATAAAGACATGATCTGGTAGGCAGTATGTCAGATTGAGTTTTGATGATTTTCTAAAAGACGAAAGCAATTTTGTATCTTCTGATATCTCTAGCTGCGATAGGTATACCTCAGTCTCTCCTTTTGGTCCTGCTCCGGTGAAGACCTGACCACAAAAGTCTTCAGTCGCTGCATCCAGGACATTTCATCGTAGCTCCGCGGCTCCTGGTAACTGTCGATAACCTCCAACATAGCCTCAACTTCCAATTTCTGAAGGAAGGGTATGGGGTTAGCAAAGTTTCAATTGATTACGATCTAAAACCTACTCTATTACACTCCAAATATGTGTGCAAGTATCCGCATAGCAGCATGCCTCCTAACACAATGGTGATTAGCCGGAAACGGAAGCGTTTACGCACAATGCAGACAGCTACGGCAGCCAGCGCCACAAAAAGCAAAAATTGCACCTGTTGAACAGAACATGTTTTCGATGAGCAATTGCTGCTTCTCCATAAACAAAACAATGCAACAGTTACCTCGGAAATTTTCAACAGTTGTATAAAATCCTTGAAAATTTCCTTAACTAAGGCCCACACGCCCTGTCCCTGATCTGCATAGTTGCAGCCGAATGCACCTTCTACAAGTGGAGCTTCCTCTGCCCTCTCCAGTATCTTGGTGAGCAAAATGTCCAAATCGCGAGCATCTTGTACTGACTTTATCTCATCTAATTGGGACGGAAGCAACGAGAACAGCAGCGATCGCTTGTAAAGCGTTGCGGTAGCATCGTACTATTTACAAAACAAGCCATGGTCATGACGTCATTCAGCCAAATTTGGTCTTAAGAAGCAAACTTACCTGCAAACGCTTGCGTTGAAATAGTTGGTTTACAAATTTCTTAAAATACGTTAGCGACATCGCATCCTCAATGGCAGTCGGAGACTTCTGTGGCGTTTCCGGACATTCACACGGGAGGCAGTACTCGCCATGAGCCTGATCGAAATCCGTGGCGAAATGCGACCAAGTGTGCTGCGGGTCTACCCATTTCTGTTCACTCCCACTCTGGCAGCACACATTATTAAATATTAGTAAGCAACAGCTTATTAGTGCACCAGTTCTCATCTTGATGCTGGACAGCACGATTTTAGTTTAAAAGATTAAATGTAAAGTTGAAGAACAGATGGCATTGCGCGGTAATGGTCTTGCCACCCTGTTCAGAAACTATTAATCGCTTCTGTGGTATTTTATCAATCGATATACTTTCGGACTCGGTATATTTACGATATAATTAAAAAGTAAAAACGTACATACTATTGGTTTATTTCAGCTCACCAGCAGAAAATTTTCCTGACGGTCCATACTACATAAATATGTTGTTGATCAGAATAAAATGTGTAGTTACTATGTAAAATAAAAGGGAATATATTTGTACCTTCTTCGTTAAAACCCTAATATCTATTCAATCCAATAATAAAAGATTAATCATAATCAGGTCAATTGTAGAGAATTTATTCATTAATCGGATAAAATTATATGTTCAGGGATTAGAATGCCAAGTACTTTGTAATATTAAATGGAATATCAAAAGCGAAGATACATATTCAGGATTTGGGATGTTTACGGTATATTTAAAAAATGAGACCGTATATTTTGGTATATTTCCGAGGGCCAGACTGTATAGTTTGTCAAACAGCCCGCGGTCACACTGCTAGTCACACTTTAATGGCGGTAGTGAATATTTTTAATATTTTTTCTAAACAAACGCATTGAATTGTACAACATTGAACGGCGTTGCACAAATTATAGTGTTTTGGCAAAATGCTCGAGCAAGTGTTAAGAATTCGGTGCATCACCTAGAACGCAACGTGCGCGACATAAACGGCAAATCAAAACGAAAAATTCCACAAAACTCAATTCTCATGAATACGCAGACAATACGCGGAAGCGTGAAAAATAGAAAATAAATACAAAACAAGGCAAAGGCGAACTTTGTACGCTGTTGCAGTGTGCGAGCCCGAGCCCGAGTGCAAGTGAGAACAAACTGAAAATACACACACTTAACCCACGAAAAATCGGAAAACGAAACACAAACAAAGAAAAGAAAAAAACGCAAAATGTCTGCAACACAACGTTTGAATGCTGCGGAGAAAGACCTGGAGAGGTTCATTAAATTTCTGGCGTTGAAGTCCACCCAGGTAGTGGTGCAGTCGCGTCTGGGCGAGAAGATTCAAACGCAATGCAATCCGCTGGCGGGCAATGACTGGTTCAATATTGTAGTGCAGGACCATCCCGAAGTTATGGATGAGACGAAGAGGGCGTTGGCTCTGAAGCCTGGCGATAGCATTCTGCAGCGTCTGCCGCTGTGCGTGGAGATATCGCTGAAGACAACGGAGGGCGACCAGATGGTGCTGGAAGTGTGGTCTCTGGATCTGCTGCAACCAGCCGCGAATGGCACCACAACGAATGGTGGGGGCGCGTCAAACGCCCGCGACGACTCCAAGGCGGACACGAATGGCACAAACGGCGAGAGCCAGACGTTGAAGGCCTCCCACGCCATCTACAGCCGTATGGGCATTATGCTAAAGTCCCTCATCTCCCTCACCCGGACCACGCCCGCCTACAAGCTGTCGCGTCGCCAGTGCCCGGACTCGTATGGCATATTCTATCGCATCTATGTGGATCGCCCGCAAGTCCATACGCTCGGCGAGGGACACAAGAATGTGAAAATTGGACAGCTGCACACGATTGTGGGCTCTCTGGTCATGTCGGTGGCATATCGCACAAAGATGACCATTTCCCCGACCACGGCGCAGGCCCACCAGACGGAGAACAACATAATTATGCTCAAGTCGGATCATTTTCGGCCAGCAACCGATGCCAGCTCACCCACCAACCAGCAGACCCAAAACCATGCCACGGCCGTCACGAAGAAGCTGGGATTAGGGGGCCTGAACGCAGCTCTGGGTTCTGGTGAGAGGCGATGCATTGACATAGAGAAGCCGCTGCGTCCGGGCGCCTTCACGGACATGGGCAAGCTGCGGCAGTACACTGAGGACGACTTTGTGCTGCCGGAGACGCCACCGTTTGAGTGGCTGCTGCGTGGACGACAACGACACGAGAGCACTGGCAGCGGCTGCTCCATGGAGTCGCTGAACCGCCTCGACAATGTGGCTAGTGTCGTGAGCAACAACTTGCACAACAATAACAACAACAACCATACGGCAAACAATTTCAACCACAGCCACAATCTCAACAACAACTCGACGGGCTTCAAGAGCTTCGAGAAGCAGCAGGCCACAAATGGGGAAGCTGCCACCTCATTTTCACCCATCAAAAGTCTACTTATACCCGCCACCGCCTATCGCCACCATTCGGAGCCAACGCTAGAGCCGCCCCCAGACGATGACAATCTGCTGAAGGAGCTGCACTTTCCCTTCGCCTCACCCACATCGCATGTCAACGATTTGGCCAAATTCTATCGCGAGTGCTATCACGCTCCGCCCCTGCGAGGCCTCAACGAGCTGCAGGCGGAAGTCTCCAGCTCGTCCAGCTCCACAACGCCCGCGTCGAGCAGCTCGGTGGCCGCCTGCGGCCCGACAGCAGCCGCCGCAGCGGTGGCCACCAGTGCAGCCGATGCCAGTGCCCTGGATGATCTATCGCGACAGCTGGAGCAGTTCGAGACATCGCTAGAGGATTACGATAAGCTCGTCTCACAGTTCGGACTGACGGGCTCCTCATCGTCGGGCAGCCGCAGTAGCGGGGGACTGCAAATGAGCAACTGAGTGTCAAGTCTGAGTGGTGCCGCCTGCGAGGGTAGATCAATAAGTTGACCCATGCTTAATTGCGTCATTAGTTAGACTCTATTTATGTGTATGCCATTGTGTTTAGTTGAATTTATAGGCTGCTACGATAAAATGCTATGTAAATACTATGAATGTAGGCTCTGTAGGCTATAGTTCCGTATAAGTTGTACATAGAAGAAGGCAATTGGCGATTGACGATTGCAGGCAGTCGAGTGCCACAACAGCAGCAGCAGCAGCAGCAGCAGCAGCGGCAGCAGCGCGTCAAATGTGAGGATAGCTCTTGTCACGTTTCAAAGTTTAGACCATAGCCACATCATGCACGACAGATGCACCAGCACGGGCACTGGCACTGGCATATGGTAGGGTATAGTTAGATACTAAGTATATACATATATATATATACATACATATAGGGTAGTAACTTGGGCGTACACGTCGCTTGTTTGTTTGTTTGTTTGTTTGTTTCTTTGTTCAAGTGCCTTCTGCCCTGCTTGTAAGTGAAATAATCATGTGCATGTGTGTATATATATAACTCTAGATAAGAGCGCAGTTAATGGGAAAGCTATAAAAAGCTATCCGTGCACAGGCATAGATACCATCCATAAGGTTTTGAGTAGTAGTATAGTAGATACCCTGCTTGACACAGATTATGGTGTGTGGTGAGGCCAGGGCCTTCTGTTCGGAAGGTCTCTATGCAAATACAAAAACGTTAACCCAAGACTTTAAGCATAAAGAAATATATTGTAACTATCATCATTTGTATTTTGTAAATCAGTTAGTGTTTTGTATTTGAAATGTTATTTATTTATTGGTTTCCAAATTACTCAAAATTTGCCTACACATGTGAATCGAAATTCAAGTACTATACTTACGCATTAGATTAATCAGTATGATTAATAAGAGAATAAGAAATTTATACATACAAATATAATATATAAAGCAAAGAATAAAAGCAATTGTTAATCAAAACACACACAAATCAAAGCTTAATCTGTTTTGCACACGGAAACAAAATCATTTTCAGAGATTCGAGTATCTGGAACAGTATCGGCTATGAGCATGTAAACATCTAGAGAATTCCACAATATATCACACACCTCTAAATAGTTCCGGAGAAGGGGGTGGTCATGTGATTTGATAAACTCTCCCTACACCCAAAGGGCTCAGGTTGGGGTTGGGCAAACCCCCTTTCAAGATCTTGACTGCCTCTAACCGGTTATCAATGTTTTCATTTTGCATATTTACTTAATCTGTTTTTCTATCATTCAATTAAGTATTGTATAATATACGTCAGAGTCGAGAGTTGTGTGAGGAGGTTGTTGATTTAGCTGGATTCCGCTGCACCTGACTGACAGAACCAGCAGCGATAACAAGAACATGACCCGAAGTGTGGTTTGAAACCCGCGTGCCGAGATACCCTTACTCAGTGTTCATATATCTGGTTAATAACAAAATGAAATGACTGTCATTGCTGATTAAATATACAAAACACTATACAGGTCAAACAGCAGATCATAACAACAGTGATACACTTTGAAAGGGTATAACCAGAAGAGCCAGAATCTAAGTTTGTTATTGCCGTTATCAATTAGCATGCTCTGGGTGCTCTCACAGCTGACCGATCTCACACTTGTTCGCCCTCTCGCTCCATCTCTCTCCATGCACATACACTCACACAACCACAAACGCTAGTAAATCTTCGACCTAATCTCTAATATTGTTGCGCATTCTGCTGGTTATGTACAGAGATTGCAACTTTTTTCTTATTTTTGCTATTTTAATTCCATGGCGAATCAACGTCACTATGGCAACGACATCGCTAAGGTTAAATAGTTTTATTTTTAACTAAATACTTGTGCTGTGTATGTGTATTTGACTATTTTGTTGTTGAACCCGCAAGTTATCTGCCGTTTTGCTTTGTTGCTGATTCTCTGGCTTTCTGAGAGCTAAGCTAATGACATTGCCTAGAGTGCAAACATATGGACAGCTGTGCACGCGTTACTACTCCTTCACGTGAGCGCAGGTCGGGGCAAGAGTTTGCGAAAGTGATAAATTTGATTGTGTGGGAGATTTGCAGGTGGCAAAGTATACAAAGGAAAGGCATCACCTGGAGTACTAAAACTAAAATACATTGTACAGCTGCAACTCTAGGATCACGCCTCGCCGACAACAGGTCGCTAGTAGTGCACTCAAGAAAGCAAATACATATGCACATAGTACATACATATGTAGATTTTGTGTTTGCTTTCCGTTTTAATTGTCGAACATTTCGTTGTGTTTCTTTGTCTTTGTTTTGCTGTTGCCAGGCGCAAAAAAACT